TAATTCTGATCTTTCATGTTTTACTCCATGAACTCAGATGAATTCAGCCAGTTATTCCCCTGATAAGAGTGTGTTTGGTATTTAAAGATAATTGCCCCTTACTTTAACAGACAGAATTTTTACAAGCTAAGTGAAAGCATTTATGCACCATTCACATAAAAAACAAGTCTTTTTGGTAGAATTCGAGTTAAATAAAATCCTATGAACAAAATTTTCTATTTGAATCTCTTTTCCTAGACAAGTCTAATCCATCTTTTTCTTAGCTGATTTAAAGTATCATAATTGTAGCTACTGTTTCATAAAATACATGTATACATGCAAACTTCAGTATTTAGCCTTCCTCAAAAAATCCTGAATAGATCATACCATAAGCACATAGCAGTAACGTCATTAGTAGGCCTACAATGCTAGGATTTGCACAAAACTTGACAGCTCCACTCCAGAGGGGCCAAGAATTTCCAAAAAATAAATGCTATTCTGAAAACCTTTTTCCTGAGTTTATGAACTGGTAACATCCATGAGAAGGAATACTAAAGATATGCCACACAAAGGGTAACATGAAATGAATACTATAAGCACAACACATAAACAAGTGCATATTAGGTGAATGACACAAATAAGTACATACGAAATAACTAACCATTGTCCTCAAAAGTGAGAGCGCGTTTCTATACATTGCATACAGAAGTGTCTTACATGACTCAAAAAATGTAATTAAAATATTTCTCTAGTAAAGATATACAAAATAATCCTTTATGCACATAGGATTGCATATGCCATCCATGCTTTGCTATAAGGGTCACATCTGGGAGTTCAATGTGTTAGAAGTGGAGAATGTTTTAGAAAGTAAGAAAATTTAATTTAAAGTTCCATAGCAAACATCTTGTTATTGACAATGATGAAAGATTACTAGATTTGCTTAGCATGAAGAAGTATGTTTGTATCTTCTAAACTCTACTTAGAAAATCAATCAAAAACAATTAAATAAAATATATAATAAATAAAACAATTATTTTGTTTATATTCTACACCAGAAAAGCAACCTGTGGGATGGTGAAGATGGCTATGCATTTTTTCTTTATTTTTGTTCATATATATGTATAATATATAAAATTTCCAAACAAATTCACTGAATAAAATGCTTTTATGATTTTATTATCAAGTACTGGAGGCTGCTGCTCACTGTCGGAAAAACTTCTTTGTGTATGAAGAGTGAAGAACAACTGAAGACAGGGCCATGGGGACTTCTTGAAGAAAAATAAACAGCATTGCAATGGATTCTGAACTCCAAGAGAAAGGAACAAAAATTGTCAACCACTGTATTAAAACTAGAATATCTTTAAGAGCATCAGGTCTTCCTAAACAGATTATACATACGCAAAACAGCAGTGTCCATCCCTGCTATTAACTTCTGATGCAATGGCGAATTTCTATTAAATCCGAAAGGGACAGGGAGTCTGAGATAACAGTGACATAAACAGTCATATTAGTTCTGTTGCTTCTTGCTCAGTCAAGCACACATGGAAGGCAGCTAGAGGCATTTTACTCAACATGTGATAAATATGGGGCCTGAGAATACTGCGTGAAGAGGAATTCCCTGGTTACATAGGAGAACGACAGCAACTCGTAACAAAGTGGTCTTACGGAATGCGATGAAAGAGTTCAAACTACAGGGGCAGACATGGGGTAGGATAAATCCAAAGGAAATTATGCCTCAACAATTTAACTGCTCATGCAAAATTTGATATGTTTTGAGGAAGAAAGGAGTCTGTTGAGGAGGAAATAATATATGACAACATACCTAAAGACAAACGGCAATAAGACTGTGGGCAACAGGTACTACGCAAGCATTATTTGAAGCATGGAAAGGTGAGGGATAGCCTGAAATCTTCGTTGAGGAAGATGGTTTGTGAACATATGAATCTGAAGCCACTTGTAGCTTTGAAGCCTATTTAAGGAACATACTAGTATCGTGTATTCACCATGTCAGGTAATTGTCCACACTTTAAAAATAAGCAGAGAAAGCTGCAGGAACAGCTCATGGAAGCATACCGCTATATTTCAAAGGCACTGAACTTGATGGTCCACTTTTACACAGATTCTCTTATGAGCAGCTTTAGTATAAAACTGAAAAAATACTAAACTTCACAACATATGAACTGTTCTTGTAATATCATAAGGCAGATGATTAGCTAATAAAATACATTAATATAGTATCAGACAGAGCAAATAAAATACATTTCTGCAGAAGAGATTAGCACAGATGTTTCAATGGATTAAGAATTTCAGTGACAGAAGGTATATTTAATATATAAAATCCATATAATGAGAATCAGTGGAAAAAAAACAGGGCAATTGTCATGTGTCCAAATACTTCATAAAAAGCTGTCAAATACAAATATTTCTCAGCAACAAAATATTCTACAACTGAGCAAAGTATATTTAATTCAGAATTTATGATGTACCCTCATCATGGATTTTATAGTTACAAATATTCCTGAACAGTTGGATCTCTCTGCACTGAAACAACACTTACCTTCTTCTGTTCAGTAACTCCTAAGTAGCTTATGATTAGGAGGGCATAAAGATTATTGTTGGCTTATTCTAGCAAAAGGACAGCTGAGAAGGAATACAACCGATGTGTATAAACACACCCAGAGGCAAACACCTGAGAACTAATTAAGCTAAGACCAAATGGTTATAAATTGGCCATAAAGAAATTAAGGTTGGAAATGAAACAACCTGATGTTTTCAGATGAAAATTCAATTATTTATTTTTTTAAACAGGATGACTTGGCTGTCTATAATACCCAGGGCTTGAACTCAATCATCCAGCATATCCTCCCACTTCCAGTCAGATACCCTAAAAACATGACAAGTTTTAACATTCTTGTAAAATAACTATACATGTATGTTAAATCCTATAATAGAACTGCTCACTGAAAAAGCATGATATAGGTTATAAATAATACAAAAATAGATACTCAGACGTGAATGAATTTCTAAAGCTGTAAAAACTGATTTGCATATTTAAATAAAACAACAAACACAACCCATAGATGCTTATTCAAGCTATCAAGACTATGAGTGTTCCTTTCAAGCAATAGCCAAAGCTAACAGAAATCTGCCTAAGCACCATTACAGCAACAATCTCTAGACCGTTTCACTTCCTACCAGTATTACTTATTTGCATTCCTTTCCTCCCAAAAATAAGGACAAGACAAGAATGTAGGCATGGCAACTTCACAGAAAATTAATAACAATCTCATTATCTTTGATTCCTTTTGAAATTTGTTTCTACTTTCTCTGCCACAAAAGTCCCCCAAAATAATAAAGAATAATGACCAAAGTGCATATGGGATATACCAATCAAAAGCAAAAGCCTGGCCCAATGCACATATGGAATATACCAATCAAAAGCACTGGCCTCTTTCACTGACATTGGTAATTTTTTTCTTTTCTTTTTTTTTTTTTTTTTTAAACCAGACCCTATTGAGAACACACACAAATTTAGCAGTACATTTAGAATATTCAGTGCTTTTTTTTCATGGGCCTTTTTTTTCCTAGCTACTAAACTAGCAAACTTGTCATTTTTAAAGTTCACAGTAGGTAAGTGAACTACTTCATCCTTGGAACAGACTGATTCATACTTCTTCAGGAATCAAAAAAAAAAAAAAAGCTGTTTCATCATCAGCTGATGCTCCATCAGATCCACACTTTAGTCTCAGTTTTTGCTGATTTTCCGTAATTTATTTTTAATAGTGAAATACAATTGCATTTTATTTTGAATGCCTTTGCAATACTCAAGTTTGATAGAAATGCCATTTTAATTGATACACTTTTTTTTTTTTGAAAACGCAGAACAAATTAACTGCATTTTTTTCTACCTAAAAAAATCTTTTGCTTTCTTTTCCTTTTTTTTTTAAAAAAAGGGGGGGGGGGGGGGAAGGATTCCCTTGCTAAGCCACATTCTCTTTCTCTAAGAACTCTATTATCTAAAAAATAGTCATATCTTAAGCAACCAATCCTCCTTGTCTAGGAAGCCTTGACTAGAACATTACAAACATTCTCTTTTTGGACAAAAGCATATTATTTACAAAAACAAAAAGGAGATACACTGCCCAGACAGTAATGCTATAATCATTAATATGAATCTGAAAACCAACCTCATGAAAGACAGGAGAAGCAAGCTAAAGATCCCATGGGAAAAAGAGAGTTTTATCTGGAATCTGCTGTACTATTGGCAGCCACCCGCACCATTGGACAGCTGAATAATACAGACACAGATAACTCCAGTGTTTTTTGATAGTGATAACTAAGTTTATCTCTAGTTACAGTTGCTTTGCTTTATTTCAAATGGTATCGATAAATTATTTTGGGGGGACAAAAAATTGTCCATCAGACCGTCAAGCTTTTTTCCATCAAAAAATCCCTTGCTAGTAATTTGCACTACTTTTCACACTATTTTTCACTTCAGACTGAATCAGAAATCAATTATTTACAAGATTCTAAACTAAAGTTATTAAAATGTCTTTGCACTCTCAGAATTGCTCTTTCCTATCTTTCCTTCATGAAAAAAAAATAATTATTGCAACCAAGATTTAATTGCAACAGATGGAGGGCACTGGCTAGTATAGCTTTTTTCTTTTTTTCTTTCTTATTTTTTAATTGAAGTGCTGTGGGTGGCAGGGTAAAGATTATACAATTAAATGCATACATATGTAGCATGCATGTATACATACATGCATATATTCACCACTATGTGCCTATTTATAAATCGGAAATTCTAAGTAATTAAAAGGAAAAATACAGGCAGCTTTTGCAGGTGGAAATTGAATGTATTTACAGAAGCTTTAAGGAAAACATCTTGGTGTTAATACGGTGCTATGACTGTTGAAAAAATCCAGTGAATGTGATGACTATAAATATATACACCATTCTTACAAAATTCAGGACAATGTATATCATTGCATTGTTATTCTGCTTCATTTCATACTCACAGACAGACTGTAAGAAGGTTCCAATATCACTGGCACTGACATCTTCCCTTGAAGATTCAATTTTGTTAAGTAAAAAATCTTTTCTCCCACAATCCTCTCTTTTTTCATGCGACGTACGCTGTATAGTCGAAAGCGAACTGCATAATTCCCAATCATCTCAGACTCAACGTGATTAAATTTGAATGTCTCTGTGAAGACAGGGCACGGTCCCCGCTGGATGCTGGTTTTTGCTCTCTGTTTCTTTATAGGGAGAAGAACTAGGTGTACTTGCCATGAGCTTCCACCTGTCCTGCTGTATGTAGGAATATCTGTGACAGCTGTCACTGTCACCAAAAGCTTCTGTTCCTGTGAGTCATAGTCAAAAGTCACATCCAGTGTGCCATATTTAGCTACTGGCTCAGGATCAAAAGGTTTAGGAAGCTGTGAAGATGATCCTCGAGCTGACATATCCTGAAGAAGAAGAAAAAAGCTTTTATTTATTTATTTATTGCATTATATTATTAAGCTTAGCATGGAACTATATAGCTTTCTCTAAGCAAAATGAAGGGACTATGATCTTTTTGTTCATTTCATAAACAAAGTAATTAAACACTGTAAGCCTGAAGAGATGGCTGACTAGCAGCCAAGAAAAAAAAAATCAAAAGATTTTACCTGGCCAATACTGCCAAAAGCCAGGAGCCAATCAGACATAGCTTGGATTAAATTAGGCTGTATTTATGATCTCTTCTTCTCTGTCCCACATGTTAAAATGCATACACATATGTTACAAGATATAATTACCTTACTTTGGTGTGAGTATACACACATTTTAAGTTAACATTTTGTAGTGCTTTAAGACCTGCCTGGTGATTGAGAGCACAGTGAGATGCCAGCAAAGAATACAGGAATTACAATACTTATTTGCACATGCAGCTCTTGCTGCAGTGAACAAAGATTCTATAGATGTGCCAAAAATTACCATGGTTTTATTGATGCAGTTTTACCAGAACTGTGTCAAACGAGTCTGTTCTGAACTTTCCATAAACAGCATCATTCCTAAAACCACACTGTAAACAATTTTAAAACTGCTTATTATCACTTCAATTTTTGAATAAAATATCCACCCACTATGTTTTTAAAACAGCTAGTTTGATAATGATACTGAAACAGTATTTAAAAGGGCTCAACATAATATTTACATAAGTTATCCCAAATAGGTAAAATAAACATATTTCCTGTGTGTTTTCATACTATCAAAGTATGCTTGCTTATACAAGTAGATACTACAATATAGCCTTTCCGATCTAAAAATGTTATGTTCTTATTTTAAACTGGATGCTACATAGCTATGGAAATTCCTTCCTCTGACAACTTCATTCTACAAGTTGAGTGTCTATAAAAATATGCTGACAATATTCTGTGTTCTTATTGTACACTTACACTATTGCCTGGTACGATGTGTAATGGGAAGAATCAGGGTTAGATCTCCTGTAGTTTGTTACTGTTTGAGGATCATATGTACACACTATGCCTTTCTCAGTAATGAAATTCGTGCTGATTGCAGTCCTAGCAGAGGGCCAGACACATGCAGACAGCTAGGTATTGGAGGACCTTGCATTCATATAGCAGGTGGGCCTTCCAGATGTTGCACCAACACCTCAGAAAGCAACAACTTACCACAGGGTTTACTAAGACAGAAACAGCTGTTGGCACATCAGGACCTCTCCCTAATATGCACTTCAAAACTTCAGTTAAAGACAAAAGACAAACTGTACCAAAAAAAGGCTCTTCTGCACATTGCGTCAATAAAACAGTACCCATTACATACCAGTGCAGTAATTGTTTGTTAAAGATATATCAAGGAAATGTCAATAAAAGATGAATTCTTTGTAGTAATACTAAATAGATATCATTATAGTTTGTAATGGAAAAAGGGAAAATTAAGTGAACCAAATCTCTATTATACTATCAATAAAAATAAATAAATAAATAAACTTTATAATTTTTTCCCACCATTAAAGATATATTATGAGATGTTCAACTTGTAAAGTGTTAACAGATCCATAGGAAAAATATGTGGAAGAAACACAAGAAATAATTCACTCTTATTGGGAACTTGTTTGAAAATTAAAACTTAGTAACTAAAAAGAACAATCTGAAATTCAGTTGTAGTATTTTCTTACAAATATATATATATTTTAATGAGCTGTAATATGGGTGTTCATATTTCTGTACACTGGTCTTTAGAAAAAAGCTCTCAAAAGGTTGCATTGCACGATACTTCAGAACATTCAACTGTGTTCATTTACCTCTGGACTAAGGACAGCTGTGCTATCACTTGGTACATCCTCTTCATATCCTTTGTTATGAAAACTTTCTATTTCGTGTCCTGTGCTTCCCTCACTTGGACACTTATATGAACATCTTGGACTGTTGCTACACTGGGAAAATTCACATTTACTGTCTCCAACTTCAGAAGGCGTACATGAAAGATGAGGAGAACCGCTATCATCCTGGTATGGAGGTGGCTGCAGTTCATCTAGCGGAGGTGTTCTTCTCATCCTCTGAATGCAGTTAGCTGAGAATAATGAAAATTCTTTACTTACTTTCTGATTATTTACTGTTCAAAGTTCTGTAGAAAACAGTAAGTCCAATTCTGGACAGAATATTAAAAATTGTTCTTAACAAATACTGCCAAAAAATATGAATTCAAAATGGAAACAAATGATCTCAGATGAAAGATGTGGAGAAAAGCAAAGGATTAAATATATAGTCAAAATGAACTGTGTAAACCATATATAAATAAATATAGCACAAATATGACATGACAAGAAGTCTAGGTTTGAATTTTGGTAATGCTTACCTTGCAAAAACCTTTGGGTATCTTGAGTCACATTCTGCACAGGTGGAATGTAGACCAATTAAGCAAACAAAATACACTCCCTAAAGCCATGATATCAAACTTCTGATTACCTCCCATGTAGTTGCTCACCCAGGGAGATAGTTAATTAAACTCTGAGGACAAATAAGTAGTAATAAATGCTGACACAAGCCTTTTCACACAAGTGAACTCTGCTCACCTGTGAATTTAATAAAAGAAGCAGTATCTCAGAGACAGATTCCTTTCTACTTAATAAGAATGGCTACAGGTTACATACCCAGTGTCTAAGAACGTAGACACTGGGTCCAGCCACCAAAAACAGCAGAAAAAGTACCACGAGCAACCGGGTGCCTGGGGGTGAATGCTGGATGCTTAACATCTTTGTTTCATACAGACAGATGAAACTAGATATTTGATAGATGGAACTGTGGTTATATATGTCCTCAGAAAATAAAGCCAGAATGCATGGCTATGAATACAGAAAGTTAATTCCAAACAATTACATTTCAATTTTTGGTCTCATGTTTTACCACACAGTGTTACACAGAGTTGGGAAAAGACAGTAAGTATTCTTTAGCTGAAATGAAAGTAGTTCTAAGGACATGTAAAACCTGTTTCACATATCATTTCTGTCAGCTATAGAGGTTTTAATGAAGGTTTCAATGCACCTCACAAATATAGGAATAACTTAAACAGAAAAATTTCAGACATACTGCTGTCACACAGAGGAAAATCTATCAAAAAAAAGGAAGTTAACAAAAGTATGAGCATTAGTATGAAACAAGTTTTGATTTCAGATTCCGCTAAGAAAGAAAATTATTTTCCTTCCTACATGACAAAGGTGGTATATTTTAGTTTCACCATCAATTTTTTTGCGTAAGGGATTGCCCTGCCTATGTCCTAATTTCTCACCAAGTATATGAACCTTTTAATTACTTCAGAGGCAACAACAAGTTTTTTCAATGTATCACTAGAACAGACAGACTATGCCAAGAGTTACCCTTTATAGAACAAAGTTGAAAACAGTAACACATCACTCTCAAGCAACAAGAAGTCTCAGCATTCATGGGAAGCAAACCCAGACACATTGGCTAAAAGAGAGCCATGGTCCATTGTGATCGCCAAAGTTGGGCAATGGAGGGACAGGAACACCACAGCTCATTATCGAGCATATCTACAGCATCAATATATACAGGCCTCAAAGTTCATCTCTTTTGGGAATGCAGGGCTCTTCTCTATACCACTGGGCTGCTAATGGAAATTCTGAGTTTTAGCTAAGGCAAACGAGTGATTAAAACAATGCAAAGTGCTCCTAGAAAATGATCCTGGAGTCAGGAATCCTCTCTCCTCTTATAAACCCATCAGAGGCAGCCTACCATTCAGAGCAATCCCAGGTAAAGCTCCTTTGCTGTTAGCTAGCCCAGTGCCACTAACTCCCAAAATGCCAGTCCCAGATAGGGACTGGCAAGGAAAAAAGAGCAGGCAGGGAATCCTACACTCCAACTGCAGCCATTGGTCCTGCAGATGTACATAGAGCCTTACATGTGAAACCGAGTTCTCAAGTGGACAATCAGAATCTTGAAATCACCATGCAGGAACAATGGGAAAGATCTAAACTGCAGAAAACTGAGAGATGTGTGAAAGCACTTTTTCTTGGACATCAGATAACTCATGCCTGTGAAACTAGATAGGCACCATTTTAGATTCTAAACTGGTATTTTAATCATAATAAAAAAATAAATATCATTTGCCTTTCTATACCATCAAAAGAGGACTATCTTTTCACTACTTAAATAATTAAGTATGCATTTAAACTTAGAGCAACAAAATTTCTGCTCATAGTTGCTCAAAGGCAATAACAGCCTTAAAGATAGAGTAAATATCATGCAACTATGACTAAATGTCATTCTTTTTTACTTGTAGTCTGCAAAGCCTTTTTAACCCCCAGCTTTTTCACAATCTAAAGAAACAAAAATGTGTCTGGGTAACTAACAACACCATTATTGTCTTACATTAGTAAATAAAAGGCTCTATGACTCACTTTTTTCCACTTTGATGAACTCCATTATATTTCCCTGTGGGAAAACTGCACAGGCTGCATGACAGAAAACGTACTTTTAATGTAGGTGGGGAAGAAGTGAAGAAAAGAAAATTCTTATTAACCAGCTGTGATTTAAAAATCTCAGAAAAGCAGAACACTGGGACAGGTTTTACCTAGTTATTTCTGAAAGTTTAGTTACCAAACAGAAATAACGTGTAAACACTTAAAACAAATACCCCATATCATGTTTAAAAGTCTAAGGACATCTTTATCAACATGCATACACTGTTTTTGAAGAAAAGTTTTCTCTAAATAAAAAGACATTTTTAAATAACCTTTTTAACTGAACAAATCTCATCTTAAATTAACTTCCCCTTCCCCACAGTAAATGATTTGCTAAAATGATGACTTCATGTTACAGTTCTCTGAAAATACTATGATGTCATTTGAACTACATGATTACATAATTATTGATGATATCAAAAATAAACAGTATCACAGACAGAAGTAAATACAGCAACATTGAATAATGTCTGATGCTAGGTATTTTCCTTAAAAATTGCATAGAAGTAGTAACTAAAATAATCAATCAACAGCACTCTGCATATGCATCAAAGTTTAAAATAAGAAAACAGTGCTAATGCGTGCTGGCCTACCCCTGGTTATATTAAATAAAAATGTTTGGATCTGGAAAAAAAGCGTGTTCTGAAATGTCTACTTACATATGGGATCTGTAAATATACCTTGTGTCTTTAAAGTGTAAACTTATATGCAATTACATTTATGCATACTTGTGTACTGTGACACAAAGAATGCCTTTCAAAGACCTGTGAATGTGGCTAAGACTTGCTGAAGAGTTATACTTAAGCAAATTGTTACAGTGAAAATCCAAAATTAATTGGAGCATCTTTTCTGTGCTAGTTTACCATAAATTTTTCTGCTCTCAAACAACACAGAAAATATATTTTACCAATTCCCCCAGTAAACTTCAGCATATTAAGTTATCGCAACAGTTTGGATCAGTCAGTGTGAAAAACAAGTCAACATATATCCCAAATCCAGAAGACACGATTAATCACAGAGAAACCAAATCTTGTACAGCCTGAGGAGGTTCCTCCTATACAGGAAATGCAAGAACAGGGAGGAAAGAACAAAAGGAAAAAATAAATTTACAGATAAAGATCTAACATCCAGTTTTCCACCCAAAATAAGTGGATATTGTCATAACATGAATGAAACAAAGTTGTTTAGTAACAAATATTGGGTAAACTCTAACTTGAGAATATAGTGTATTGCTCTTGATAAACAGATTTGCATAATAAATTTTAGGTGTTAACTGCTTTAATTAAAATTTTCTTCCTTTAGTGGGCTAGAAAAATACTCAAATAATTTTAACAGTGTAATACTAGCTCAACAGCTGAAGAAAGCAGACATTACAAGCAAAATACCTGACAAAGTCAGATTAGCATTTTGCTGGTATGCTCGGAAATTAGAGCACATGAACTACGTACAGACTGGCGATGAGACGCTGGAGAGCAGCCTAGAAGAGAGGGATCTGGGGTCGTGGGTAGACAACAAGTTGAATATGAGCCGGCAGTGTGCCCTGGCAGCCAGGAGGGCCAACCGTGTCCTGGGTGCATCAAGCACGGCATCGCTAGTAGGTCGAGGGAGGTGATTGTCCCGCTCTACTCTGCGCTGGTGCGGCCTCACCTCGAGTACTGTGTGCAGTTCTGGGCACCACAGTATAAAAAGGACATGAAACTGTTGGAGAGTGTCCAGAGGAGGGCTACGAAGATGGTGAAAGGCCTGGAGGGGAAGACGTACGAGGAACGGCTGAGGGCACTGGGCTGTTCAGCCTGGAGAAGAGGAGGCTAAGGGGAGACCTCATCGCAGTCTACAACTTCCTCGTAAGGGGGTGTCGAGAGGCAGGAGACCTTTTCTCCATTAACACCAGCGACAGGACCCGCGGGAATGGAGTTAAGCTGAGGCAGGGGAAGTTTAGGCTCATTAGCACATTTAACTCAGAAGTAAATAAATGCTTTCTTTTTAGTACTGTTTGTTAAACAACCAAGGTTAATCTGTTTTCCTAAATCCATTTACATGGGATTGATTGAAAGCCGAGGGGACATAATATATATCTTGCCATCAGCCTCAAGAGACCGTCAATAAATCTGACTCAGCAATTACATTTGTGAGTAAGACTAGAGTATTCCTAGAATACACAATTTATAACTATGAGAAAATACATGGACTTTTTCAAAGTCATTTTTCCATGTGGAATTCCAATTTAAAGATATATGAACTTTCTATACAAAATGTTTTTCTTTTAGGTTTTCAGTTACTGTTTGATATTTCTGCTCTCAGTGTTCTTAATTTCTCCTCTCTGTCCTGGTCCCTTGTGGAGCACACTAGGCTGTACAACATTTTACCATGAAGCTGGTGATGTTCCTTTCCATGTTACAATGTTTAGACTTTGCTGCCTTAATTAAATTTCCCAGAGGTTGTCAGAAACAGCATCAGAAACCAAGCTTTCTTTAGCCCGTATTTCCTAATTCCATTAATGTCCATTTCAACATAGAGAAAAAGAAGTTATCCCCATGGTTGTAATTCCCATGTCTCATAAGCAATAATTAACTACACTTTTGCAACTTTTAGT